ACATTAAACAGGGAAATGGGCGCTCTGTTACTAAACACCGTCTTCTCTTACTGCAGACTTCCTAAACAGGAGAGGCAGCCCTGGGCAGACTTATTTACATTTTCTCTCCCATACACAGTGGATATGCAGTGTGATGGTTAAGGATGAGGGGTGGACTTGATTGGCTCTGGGACCCGTCTCAGGGAAGAGCAGAGCTCACTTCCGGGTGTGTCTGGGCATGGCCTTTGGGTCTAAGTCTGTTCTCTCACCTTCTTTTGTTCCTCTGCTCTGCTCCCTGGCCACCATGAAGTAAGTACACATCTTTGCCCCACCACGTCCTGCCATCTTGAGATTTCCCTGATGGAGACAGTTGACCCTGAATTTATAATTTCTGAAATGATGCGTCAAATTAAACCTCTCCTCTTTGAAGTTGTGGGTGTCAGGCATTATGTCCCAGTGATAAAAAGCTGACCATTACACCCAGGGAATAAATGTGATGGCAGAGGTTATGAAGCCGCTATTCCCCATTCCATACAGTAGCTCCTACCTGAACCTTTTTTCTAGGTTAACAGAACACTCAGCTGTATGTAAAACCACTAAGCACGGAAGGTCCTGTGAAGAGCTGTCTCTACAGCCACGTCCTTATGCCTGGCTTCATCTCACCTGGTAGCCCTGCTCTCAGCTTCCTCTTGCACTTCACTGTCGTTATACATCTGTCCAGGTTGTTACTCTTCACCCACCCCAGTTGATTCTAACCTCCATGAGGGCAAAAGTCTTGCAGGATGCTCCAGTCTAGCACAGAGACTGACACACAGTCATCCCCCCTCCATGGTGGTTTCACCTTCCAAGGTTTTAGTTGCCCAAGGTCAACCACAGTGGGAAAGTGTTAAATGGAAAACAATTCATGAGCTTTAAATGGTGTGCCTCTGAGTAACGTGAGGAGACCCACTAAGCCTGGGATAGGAATCATCCATTTGTCCAGTGTATCCACACTGTATATGCTGCCTGCCCATTCATCACTAAATGGCTGTCTCCAGTCCCAGACTGACTGATTGAACATTGCCAGGCATAGGTTCAAGTAACCCTTATTTTATTTAATAAAGACCTCAAACTGCAAGAGTAGAGATGCTGGCCATTTTATTACAATATATTGCTACAACTGCTCTATCAGTCATTATTAGTAATGTCTTCCTGTGTCTAATGTATAAATTAAACTTTCTCCTAAGTGTGCATGTGTAGGAAAAAATGTCACACCTACAGAATGTGGTGCTATCTGTAGCTGCAGCCAACCGCAGATAAGGAGGGCTTCTGTACAGAAGGACCTAAAAATTATTTTTTGAATAAAGGAATAAGTAAATAAATAAATCTATAAATGAACAGGTCCCTCTGGAATGAGACTAAAGAGGATTAAGCGAGAGTTAGTTCCTGAAAACCTGTAGCTTTTATTTTTTTAAGGCATCTCTTTGGCTGCAAGTGACTCTTCTACCAAAAACAAGTTGTTCCCGCTCAATCAACCAGAAGAAGTTGCTGCTATGACGACTGGGTGTGAGGACATCTGTCCTTTGCATGAGGACAGCGATGGTCACTCCAGGCTCTTGTGCCACCTGGGTTTGGTCCCCAGGCTGCACCCCCAGATTGGCCCTCCCCAACAGTAGCGTGGACCAGGAAAGTTTCCTGCTCTCCGTGCGAGGGCTCAGCACACATGGGTTCTGATGAGTCCCAGGACACTGAAGATTCTACACGTGGCCAAGGAAAAAGCCTGTCTTCTCTTGGACATGGTGGCAAAGGCAAATAAGAACAAGGCCTGGGTGTTCTTTGATCCAAGGAGACCACTTGGTGGACACTTCTGGGCAGGGAAGCAATCTAGCAACCAAGAGGGGACAGAAAGAACTCCAGGACACACAATGAGTAAAAACAGCACTAGGACTAATTTCCTTACACCAGCCTTCTAATTCAGGCTGTGATTACTGTTTTGTTCCCCCTCCTCTTGATCTTCTGCAGTTACCCTGCCAATACACTAGACTGATCTCAGACCACTTAGACTCCCAAGTAAGAGCAAGCTGCTTTAATCCAGTGAGAGAATCAGACGAGAGGACTTTCCTTTCTGAGACAGGATCTTGCTTTGTATTCCAGGCTGGCCTCAAACTCACAGCAACCCTCCTGCCTCAGCCACCACATGCAGGTATTACAGACGTGCGCCACCATGTCTAGCTCCCTATTCCTAAGAAGATGCACACAGGAGCATAAATGTGTACCTCAAAGAGCCAACCTGAGGAGTCTGGTGATGGGGCGCCCTGGAGAGATCTACAAAGCTGATCCCCAACGGAGATGATAAATCAAGTGACTTTTTCCACATGATCCCTCCAGGGAGGTTTAGTGCATCAGGTTCCCAGTTCTAGTTTCTCTTTAACCTGAGGCAAGTCTAGTCAGCTGCTTTTCCTGATAGGGATTCATTTACAAATTTAGTAACTAAAGACAGAAACAAACTATTCATGACTATCTTTTGTATCCTAGGATAAGAGGTAACTTGAAGAAAAGAAATATAAATGTTTCTTTAAAGTACTTAGGAGGATACATGTTCAAAGATTCAGCTGAGTGGTGCAGGCCGTAATCACAAGTTCAAGGCCAGCCTGGGCAATTTAGTCAGACTCTCTCAAAATAAAAGGAGGCGGGTGGGCAGCATAGTGGTAGAACACATGCCTAGCATGCCTGAGGCCCTGGGTTCAACCTCTAGCACAAGGGCAAAAAAAGATTCTGTCAAAGGTAGTTTTCTATAAAGTCCTTTCAAACTCCACAAATATTTTTAGAACAATTCTTATGAGTGTCGTTCACATGCAGACAGAGCTATGGCAAATGGAGTCCTGCTGAAACTGATCACTAATCGTGAGCGTCACAGGGTCATGAGCCATTGCCATCCTAGTAAATCTTAAATGTCATGTAACAGGAGCTGACACAGAAGTATTGAATATGGAACACGGGGCATGGTAGCACATGTCTGTAATCCCAGCACTCGGGAGGCTGAGGCAGGAGGATCTTGGGAGTTTGAGACCAGCCTGGGCTACAAAGTGAACTCAAGGCCAGCCTGAACAGCATAGCAAGGTCCTGTCTCAAAAAAAAAAAAAAAAAAAAAAAGTATTGAATATGTATAGTTTAAAGGATCTAGGGCCAGGGATATAGCTCAGTGGCATAAGCACTTGCCTGGCAAGCCTGAGGTCATGAGTTCCATCCCTGGTACCAAAAATAAATAAATAAAAGATCTTGAGTGTACTATTATAAATACAGAGGCACACGTGTAGCTTCGCCTACTGTCATTTCGTGTGACGGAATCCCGCAGCTGTCGAACAGCTTCCTGAATTGCCAACTAATAGGGGCTGGAGGCCAGGAAGAATGCCGCATGGCACTGATCCGAAAGGGTCTGTGAAAAATAATTAACAAAACTGGAAATTAACAACTTGATGACATTAAAAGTGCAGAAGGCTGGGGCTGTGTTAGTGCACGTGCCTAGCACATGTGAAGGCCCCTGGGTTCGATTCCTGGTACCACAAAAGACAAACGTGTGTGTGGTGGGGGGAGTAGTCGAGCAAGTTTACTCTTCTCAGCTAGAGCCGGGCTTTTCATGACGTAGGACTCTGAGGATGGTGGCGGAATTGTCCGGCATGCCTTCGGGGTCTTTTCCAGTTGGGTGCAGGTCCAGGACTCTGGTGGGCTCACAGGGTGCACACAACTGCTGGACACCAGAGCCCAGAGACCCCTGGAGGGCAGGGCTCCATGGCCCATGGCGGCAGGGTAAGTGGATCTGGAGTCCCTAGGGGTCTAGACAGCGCTAGGGTAACTCCATCCCGCTTTCCTCCCCTCTCCCCGGGAGTTACCGCAGAGATATCCCAGCGACCCCACTCTCCTCTCCTGCAGCCTCAAATTTCCCTGCTCTGTTAGGTCACTGCCAGCACCCTAGCAGAAATCATCCACAGGCCCACACAGCCCTCCAGCTGTCGCCCTGCTCCTCTCCCTGCACAGACAGACACCGGGGCCGTTTGTCTCTTCACGCCTCCACCAAGCCCGCTCTTGTTTCTCTCCGGGTCCCTGTCCGACTCCCCAGCTCACTTTCCACCCGGCCACTCTTACCAAGGCCTCCGAGGGTCTCCATTTGGCTGAATCCCATGGTCCATGCGCACCTTCTATTTTCCTTGACCACGGCATGCCCCTGGCCGACTGGGTCACTCCGTCTTCTCGCAGTGGCTTTTCCCTTGGCTTCCAGACACCACACTCTCCCAGCTGCTTCCTCTCGGGCTGGGCACCTGTCCCGTCTCCTACACATCTTCCTCCTCCTCCAGCTGCTCTGGTCCTGTGTTTGGATTTCTTCTCCTTCCCTGCTTGTCTCCTGGGTGATCTCACTGCCCTTACAGTGTTCAGCAATATGCGCCCAAATTCCTATCTCCGGGGACATTCCCTGTCTTCTGCTGCTGTAACAAATTACACGAACTTACTCTCCTAATTCTGGAGGTCTGAAGCCTTAAGGGGCTAAACATTTGGGTGTCCACCAAGCTGGCCTCTTCTGGAGCCTCTGGGGGAAGGTCACCCTTGCCTCATCCAGCTCGTAGAGGCAGTCAATATTCCTTGGTGTATCAGTTCGGGTCCTCCAGAGGAATGGAATCATTCTAAAGTACATTCATCACACAAGGGCTTGCTAGGGAGGCTCACAGGGTCAGAAGGGGAGGAATCCCAGTGGCCACTGTGGAATCGGATAAGAATCCAAAATGGCCCCAGCAAACTGGAGGGTCCAAGAGCAGTCAAGGTTGGAGGCCTGAAAGCTCACTACAGAGTCACTAGTGTGAGCCTGTGTCTGCAGGCTAAAGGAACTGGAGAAAAAATACAAAGACAATGGCAGCTGGGCGTGGTGGCACACCCCTGTAATCCCAGCACTGGGGAGGCTGAGGCAGGAGGTCACTGTGAATTTGAAAGTAGCCAGGGCTACATAGTGAGTTCAAAGCCAGTCTGGAGAGCAGGGGATTTAGCTCAGTGGCACAGCACCTGCCTGGCAAATGCAAGGTCGTGAGTTCGGTTCCTGGTACCAGAAGAAAAACAAAAACAAAAACAATAAAGCCAGTCAGGATTACATAGCAAGATCCTGTCTCTAAAAAGAAAAAAAAAAACAAAACAAGGCAAGGCCTGGAGCTCCTCCAAAAGAGGACTATATCCTTCCTTTTCTTTTTATCCTGTCCAGGCTACAAGCCTATTGGTTGGTGCCACCCACATCTTCCCCTCAATTTGCTGGCCTAAACGTCAATCAGCCACTGACGCACCGAGAGGTTACTAATCTGCTGGGAAGTTCTTATTTAAATTGACAGTCACACTTGGTTGGTGATCCTGTTACATCCCTGACTTACCAACATTCACACTGGGAACGTGCAGAGATACAATCAACGAGATCTCGCATTACACATTCATAGGTTCGAACAAATCTCGGAAGTAGCTCTTCTGTCTGCCAGGCATCATGCTGCCGTGTGCTCACTGTACAGTGCTCAGGCAGAGCCCAGATGTCCAGAAGCAAGAAGAAAGGCAGTGGTGCTGTTGGGCAGGGCGTGTAGGGAGCACAAAGCAGTGTGCACTGCACATCTGTGTCAAAGGTATGGAAAAATCACTTTGTCAGATATAGGAACAGATCCGACTTACGAAGGGATGTTCTCTGGAACGGAATTGGTTTGTAAATCGGGGACTAACTGTATTCCAGTCTCTGATTCCGTCATCCCATATCCTCTTTTACTGCTCTCGTGACCCTCTTGAAAGAGACCCCATCTGGATCATCCCAGGTGATGCTCGAGGTCTTTAACTTAATCACATCTGCAGAGTTCCGTTTGCCAGATCAAGTAACACCCAAGGGTTCTGGGAATTGGGACTGGACATACGCAGGGGCCATTACTGAGCCTAGACCTCTGCTATGGTTGGAAACGTGTCTCGAGTTCCCACGCTGGAAAATTAATCTTCAGTGCAGAGGTGTTGGGAAGTGGAGCCATTAAGAGATTAAGTTTTGGGGGCTCTGCCTTTGCGGCTGGATTGATGCTGCGGTCCCAGGAACGGGTCACTTGTCCAGGAGCAGGATCCTCATGAAAGGATGAGCCCCTCACCATAGTGACGCTATAGTGCAACACATAAACCCCCGGCAGAGGCGGCTCCCCCATCTGGGACCTCTCAGGCCATGGTGCCCAGCTAAAGCAGTCCAAGTGGACTAGGACGGCCTCTGGGTAACTCCCGCCTCGGACGCCCAGTTCCCTGCTCCAGCGAGCATCTCAACACCGAAGGGAGGTACATGACGGTCTCTCCTGCCGTCTTCCTCCTTCTGCTGCTGCTGCTTGCCCGGTCTGGACACTGAGAAGAATCCTTCTGTTCTCCCTTCTGCCCTTTCACACACCGTGGACAATCCCAGTGCCCGGTGCTGCTGTCTCCATGCTATCTCATCTCTCTTGCAAACCCTCCCACTTCATGGCACTGTGGTGCCATTGGCTGTCTCAGTCTCCATCCGTGCCCGCCCTGGTCACCGAAATGCCTCCTCCCTGGCCTCCAGCTTCGTGGCTGCCTCTTCTGAGGTAATCCTGTGGAAGGTCAAGCTAGATCCCACCACTCTTCTGGCAGTTCTCTTGTTTTACAACAGTGTCTGCCAGGCCTCTTACGACCCAGGCCCCTCACCTGTCACCTCTGTCTCCCTTATCCACTGTGCCCTGGACACACGGGCCGCTCACTCACACCCTGCCTCAGGGCCTTTGCGTCACTCCGCCAGTTGCAGCTGTTGATCAGTCTACTTACTTTGTGGACAATTTGTTGTTTTCCTCCTTTGTGTAGCTTGTTCTCTTCTTCTGAACTAGAAATTCCATGAGGACATGCATTTTTTTGTCAGCTTTGTTTCACCTATAACCAAGGACAATACCCAGCACACAGTAGAGCTCAATAAACACTTGCTGAATGAATGAAGTACTTTTTCCCTAGGTGGGTACACAGGAAGTCAGAGAAATAGGACCTCTATTACCTGTATCCTTTTGCTAAATCTATTAACCTGTTGCAGAGAGCCAGGTGTGGCGATGCACAGCTATAATCGCAGCACTCCAGAGGCTGAGACATGAGGCTCACCAGCCTGAACTACATAGCCAGACCCTGTCTCAAAAAATCCCATCCTAGCACTCAGAAGGCTGAGGCGGGAGGATTCCTGTGAGTCTTAGGCCAGCTGGTGCTACATAGTGAGTTCAAGGCCAACCTGAACTGCATAGCCAGATCCTGTCTCAAAAAACAAAAAGCCCAATAAATAAATAAATAAATAAGCTTTTGCAGAGGAGCTGCTCTGAGCATCACCCTAAGGCGCTCCCAGTCTTGGAAGGAGTCACATGTACATGAAGACCTAACTTCACTGCAAAGCTGACTTACAGGCACTACTACAGGAGTTCACGGTGCAACTGCCGCGGAGGAGGAAAGAGACTCACCTTGCTGGTGGCTTTGGGGGCAGGAAGGGGCTTTATGAGGAGCAGCACTTGAGTTCTGCCCTGACAGGTCTGTGGTGGCACCACGCCGTGGTCTGCATGTACCCGCACTGTGAGGCTGTAGGAGGGCCCCAGGGGGTCTAAGGTGGTGAGGTCAGGGGGTCATGTGTTAATGACTTGGAGGCTGTCGCAGGAGCCTGTCTGCTGTACGCTCCCCTCACCACATGACACCCACAGTGCCCTGGGGCTTCCCAGGGAGTCACAGCAGGGGCACCCTCCCCAGCGAGGCCCCTGACTTCAGACCTCCCAGATTCCAGAACTTCTATGAGATTTTCTTTCTACATGTCCCAGTCTCCGGGATTCTGAGATCGCAACACAGCACAGCCCGGCCTACTGTGAGCCCTCAGGATCCGGGGCTCGGCGCAGTTCCTTGACTGTGACTCTGGGACCCACTCACCTGACACCCACAGTTTCTCCTCCTCACCCCCCAGGCCATCCCAGAGGCCTCTGCGGAGAGGAGTAAGGATCACATCTACCACGCAGAGGGCGCAGGTCAGCGCAGAGCTGCCTTGGAGATGTTATCGGCCGCAGTCTGCAGAGGGAGAGGCCGGGCAGGAGCAGGAGATCCGAGCCCTGCTGGGAGGGGCTGGCCCGGAGCCAGGCAGGTGGGCTGCGTGGAGTCTGGGCCGGGCTCTGTTGTGAGGCTGAAGAGCGTCATTCAAGAGCAAGGATCGAGTAACCCGAGCAACAGGCCCGCAGCCTCAGCCGCTCCCCGTCTCCCTCCCTTGACGGTGGCCTTGAAGTCCCGTTTGCCCACGAGAGGGTGGAGGTTTTGTGAGGAAACACCTGACTGGCGGCCCGGCTATCTCCCATCTGACCTTGTGTTCCCATTTCTGACTTCAGGAGTCTTCTTGTCTTCCTTGCTCTTTCTTACCTTCCTCTCCATCCACGCCCAAAGTCTTGAGAGGCCAAGGCAGAAACAATGCAAGTGGAGACGTGGCTTCAGAGCTGCCTGGTTTTGTAACTGTCCCTCTTGCTGGCTGCTTGGAGTCGCCCGGCTTTTTCACGGGTCACGTGTGTTATGCAACTGCAGCGCGATGGGGGAGAAGCTCCTGGGGCGAGGTGCAAGATGGCGACCGGCAGGCATTGCCTGGTGTCCAGCCCAGCTCCGGCTGTGGGGCTGCAAAACAACCCACACTGCTGTGCTTTAGCTGGAAGAAGGAGGCACCTGGGGTGCAGACGGTTTCTCAGCTGCTGACCGAGTCCAGGGTACTGCTGCAGCAGTGCCAGAGCAAGGAGGGCTCACCTGAGCCACGGGGCTGGCCGCGTAATGCTCCCTGGGGACCGTGAGCTTGCTGGCCACAGGTCACTGCTGCTTCCACCCCAGGGCAGGTCCAAGGCCCTGCTCTGGGGAGAGAGTAAGCAAGCCCTTGGCCCCTGGGGTCCACTTCACCTTCCTGTGAGGGGGAACACAGCTTCCAGGACCCAGCGAGGCATCAAGGCCGCCACGCTGACCTGCACCACAGCTCTGGATGTGCAGCAGAAAAGTGGCTTCACATTCACCTCTGTGCGCAAAGCAATGACAGCTTGTAGCTCACGGGCCTCAGTAAGTAACTAGAGGTGGGCAGCAGCAAGACCCACATCCCGCAGGGCTTCCCTCTGTGGCTTCTCTCCTCCCCAGACGTTCTGGCTGGTGAAAAACTCTGTCCAAGGAGGTGATGAAGATCAGAGAGGTGAGACCGAGAGCAGAGGACGGAGGGCCCCGCTGAGGCAGGAGAGTGCTGAGTGGAGAGGCCGGGAGAGCTCAGCAAGCAGCTGTCTTGTGTCTCAGCCAGGAGAGGCCCCTGGGGACAAAAGGAGCAGCTCTCTGGCCACGCCAGGCTGGTCCACCAGCTCCATGCTGGGAGATTCCCTGGAAGCCACATGTTTAATTTTGCAATAAAAGTCAGTGAAAAACATCCAAATGACAAAACAAAAATAGCAAATTCTTCTTCCCTTCTAGGCTCTCTGGCCCCCCGCTCTCCTCCTGGTATACACAGGGGCTCTGTGTAGATCATTTGGAGCCAGGCTGCCTGGGTTGGAATCCCAGCTCTGCCATTTACAAGGCTCGTGATGGAATAGCACCTTCACTTCTCCGTGCCTCTATCTGCTCATCTGCAGAATGGACATAATAATAGAATCTAGTGTTCGAGGGTCAAGTAAAGTTTGGTGGGATGCTGAGAATGGCCTGTCGGAGGGAAGAGAAATGAGATCAGGACTTGCCCAGATTAGCCAGTCTGCCCCGCCCCTGCCCTCCAGCCTCCTGCGCTCCCCGGTCCGGGTGGCTGCTCTAGCTGTGTTTGTCTTCTGTCGGGTGGAACCACAGAAGATGGTCAAACCCCCTCTGGCCCCTCCGCACCCCGCGGCTGTGCCCACGATGGCTCAGGCCTGAAGCGGCCCCTGGGCAGGAGTGTGGTACCTCACGCATCTCTGTAGCTCCTGGGTCTTACAAGACCTAGCACATGGAAAGAACTCACTAAATGCTTGTTGAAAATAAAATTTCCTCCCTCCTGGTGACTCCTGGAATCGCCTTTCCTGTTTATTCCTAGCAGCTGTGGGAACCACAGGATCAGGATCATCATGTTTTCGTTTAGGGGCCAAGATGAGATGTGAGCATCTGCCTGGGAGTGGTGGCAATGGCCTTGCTGTGACGCTCGTCACTGGATCTTCTTGCAGAGGGTGCACCATCTCCTGACTTGGCCTAGGCCCCCCAGTGAGCCTGGCTGCAGGACTTAGTGGTCATGCCCAGAGGCGCAGGGGTCCGGGCTTACACGGGTGGCCTGCCTCATGCTTGGGGCCCCAGCTCTTGGAAAAACGCTGCAAGTGGTGAGGCGCCCCAAGGACACAGCTGCTGTGTACCACAGTATCTCCAAAAGGCAGGCGGTGTGTACAACAGACACCCTGCTCTTCACCTCGCTTTCCTCTAGTCCCCAGCCCCAGGGGAGCGGGATGCCTGCAGTCCATGTTACCGGGCAATGGCCTCAAAATGCTTCTGGCTCCCAAATAGCCATGCGGCGATGGCCGGTCCTCCCTCCCAGACAGCCTCAGCTCTGCTTCCCCAGCAGCTGTGTGGGGAGCGGGGACCAGGGCCCGGGGAGGAGCTGGGGCATCAGGCTTCAGAGCTGCACACCCCCCCTGGCTTCTGAGCCACTTCCTCAGCTCTCGGGCAGGGTCAGCAGGATGGTGCAGGGGCAGACGTGGGCTCTTTAAATCTCAGTGAGCTGAGACAGGCTCTGACCCAGCAGACACACAGTCTCTGCTGTTGAAACTGCAGCAGAGGAATCCGGTGCAGCAGGAAATGGTGGACAGGATCCAAAAACCAAGCTGTCACCTGGTACGCAGCCAGCACACCTGGTTTCCTTCGCGTCCCACCTGCTGAATGAAACTGGGCAAGGACAACCTCTGCTGGGCCTCAGTTTTCCTACCTGCAAAGTGAGGTTAATGAGCTCCAAGGCCTTGCCTACTTGTGCAGCGAGATCGAAAAATATGGTGAATGCTTAATTTTTTTTTTTTTTTTAAAAATACATTGCCATGAATCTGTCTCAAGTACTCCTCCTCACTTCAAAGCCGCATGTCCACTTCTGCCGGCAGCTCTGGAAGTCTCCTTTCCTGAGTGTCTTTAGTTGCGCTGTCATGGCTGCCTCACTGGCCTGAATCAAGTCAAAATGTTGACTTTCACGGTCATTTTGACTTTGGGGACAGCCTGAATTTGCACGGTGCCAGATCTGGTCAAGGAGAGGGACGAGGACACAGTGCCATGTTTTACAAACTGCCTTTCCACTGGGAGGCACTGGACGGCAGCATTCACCAGGATTCTGATCACACCTCATGAAGCCCCTCAGGAAAGGCGACTTCCAGAGCTGCCTCAGAGCGTGCCGACAGCGATGGGATCAGTGTGTTCCAGGTGAGGGGGAGCATTTTGCGGGGATTTTAATGGCAATGTGTCTTTTACTGTAATACATTTTTTAAAAATTTAAACAACATATACAGTATTTCAATCACAACTCTGATTTTGAAGGGTTTCAAGATGTTACTTTGCAGGGTTACCATGTATCTAACGCTGGTTCTGTCTGAGGGTACTCTGCCACACACACACATACCGTGACGTGGGGCAAATATCACCTGAAATCAACAGCGCTGGCAAATTACTAGGCAACACCCACCTTGTGAGCCTGTCTTCATCCACTTTGTGTTGCTAACACAAAATACCTGGGCACACTGTAGGAAAGAGTGGTTTATTTTGGTTCACCTTTTTGTTGTTTGTTTTGTTTTGTTTTGTCTTTTTGAGACAGGGTCTAGCTATGCAGTTCAGGCTGGCCTTGAGCTCACTTTGTACCCCGAACTGGCCTCGAACTCACAAGGATCCTCCTGCCTCAGCCTCCGGAGTGCTGGGATTACAGGGGTGCGCCACCACGCCCAGCCCTGGCTCACCATTTTGGAACCTAAAAAGCTCAAACTCGAGTGGCCACGTTGTTGAGGTCAGCAGGTCGTGTGGTGTCAGAACATGGAGCTCAACGGTGAAGCAGCTCCTCCTTCCCGCATGGCGGCAGGAAGCAGAGAGAGAGTGGAGGGAGGAGCGGGGAGCCCCTAAACTCCCCCAGGCCACACCCCCAGCAACCGGCCTCTTCCACCAGACCCACCTCCCAGCAGCTCACTCCTGAGTGGAGTAATCCACGGCTGAGTGTCATGCCCATGAGCCAATCCTACGCGTGCAGAAGGCTCTGGGGCCATCTAGGTGTAAGCCATAACTGAAAGTAACGCCCTTTCCATTTACCTGCTGGTAACACGAGGAAAGAGTAAGACCCAGAGCGCTCTTTTCCACTCATGGTCAGGCCAAGGAATGGGCCCCGATGGTGTGTGTGTGTGTGTGTGTGTGTGTGTGTGTGTGTGTGCTGCTGGGGACTGAACCCAGGGACTTTGCACTGATCTACACCCCAGCCCTTTTTATCTTGCTGAGTCATTAAGTTACCCAGGCTGGATTCGAGCCTGTAATCCTCCTACCTCGGCTTCCCTGGGATTACGGATGGCCCCTCCTTTCCAGGTCCTCTGCTGATCAACAGAATAGTGGGTCAGAGGCTACCTGTTTGCCTGGTCAAACCCTGCTTCGGGCAGCAAGCGTGGGAGGCCTACTGTATGCAACTTGTATTTTGAAGAAGCTGTGTATCAAGATGCCACTTTGCAGGGCTATCGTTAATCTAATCTGTTGTTAATTGTGTTGTCAAATGCATCTTAATCTGCAAATACCTTTGGAGCCAAGGACAACCAGAAGCTCAAGCAGTCATTTCGCCACACTCCAAATCCTACAGGGGGTGTTGTGTAGGACTGGGTCCTCCAGAGAGCCAACAGCAGCCCTCACTTTCACCAGCAGAGCACCACATGGAAAAACTGGACCTTGAACACGCGTTTATCGTCATCGGATCTGAACCAGCCACTTCTTCCTTTTTGCTTGCCTGAAACCAACCGCTGACAAAGTAAAAATGGAGAAAATTTTGATTTCATTGTTTAAAAAGATAACATTATAAGAGCTAAATGCTTGTAACGATCTACAAATGGTCCTACCATTTAAAACATTGAAAACAAATCCGGTTTGTGGCAGCATTATATTGTGATGATGTCGGAGAAAGAATTTATTAAAATAAAATGAAAATTCATAAAATAACATTGAGTTCATTGCTTTTCAACTTAAGATTATGGTGCCTCTAAATTCAGTGGAAGTATTAAAGTCTTTATATGCCTTTTTGTAGCCTTTGCAGAAATTATAATGTACATATACTGATTATAAGTGAAATAGAGATCAGCATGTTACTAAAAATTAGTATTTGTATATCTCAGACAGATGTGAAATGAGTATTTTAATGATGGTAATAGACTTTTAAGAGTTATTTGTATTGAAATACAGATCCCAGAATAAAGAATGTTTTTAGTGATATAATTTGTGTAACTGTAAGAGCTTGTCAGCCAGGTGTGGTAGCACATACCTGTATTCCCAGCATGCTTAGAGGCTGAGACAGGAGGATTTCAGGTCTGAGCTTAGCATGGGCCACTAAGTGACTTACCAAGATCCTGCCTCAAAGCAAAAAAGAAAAAAGGGCTGGGAAATTTTCTTCTATGATTTCTGCGGAGTACTACTCAGCTCCAGAGTAGGACAGATGCGAGACAGTAGGAAAATGGACATACCTGCACAATACAGTGTTGAGGGAAGTCAG